CTATATTTCCTGTCTGTCAAAGAAGGGAGAAAATACTCCTAATGATGTGATTTAAAAAGCTTATAAAGACTCTCAGTCTTTCCCAATCACTAACTGATGGCAAGACCCAACATTAAAATGTCATTCCTCTAGCTTATTGTGTCAACAATAATATTAACCACTTATAGCAGGGTTTTCCAAACTCTCACTCAGCTGTCATTTGAGTCTCCAAATGACAGTGGTAGGCAGGGCAGAAAGCAGCACACACATTCATGCACACACATCCACACCATCGTCTATAAGAAAGTGAAATGATTTGCCCAAGACATGAGCAAATATCAATGTTGTCAGATCCAGCTACGTGGGAAGGAGCTAAGCTACTACCCCTGAGTGAAAGCACATAGATGTGGGAAATTCCAAGTTCAAGCCCAAGGCGATCACATAGCCCTTTACTGCCAAGACACTCTCCCAGGAGTGAGGCTGAAAGACACAAAGAAGGAAATGGGGAACGAGTCCAGAGAGTCAAATGAATACATTGCCCAGCAGTAGGATGAAGGGCAGGTGTCTCAGGTTGGGAGTATCTATCAAAATTACCAATGTTCATAAACTCTAATTTAGCATTCCATATCTCAGAATCTATTCTATACTATAAAGTATGCCTCACAAGTGAAAAAATTGGATATATACAAAAGATATCTGTTATAACACTGTCAGTGGGGGAAAAGATCATTATGGGTAATATGACTCCATTCCTGTACATAGTATATGTATAGATCTATGCAGAGAAGAAAACTTTAAAATATGCATGCAATTCTAGTTCTCTGAGAAGTGGAATTATAGGGAATTTAACAGTTTAATTATAAAATTAATACAAATAAGCATATGTCCATTATTTTTCAATACGAACAATATAATATAAAGTTAAATATGGAAGTTATTCCATCCCTCTCATCTCATTTCAGAAGGTAACCACATACACATCACACACATAACACAACAAAACAACATATAAAAGAGATACTTTTCTTACAAAAGTGGGATTATTCTATATGCACTATTCTGCAACTTGTTTTTGTCACTTAACAAAATATCATAGATGGTACTTTCATAGAAGCTTAGCAATTAATAGCTCCAGCTCTGCCATCAGACTGCCTAAATTCAAATCCCAGCTCTACCGCTTACTAACTGTGAGAGCTGGCAAGTTATTTAACTTTGCTAAACTCTGTTTTTTTATCTTTAAAATTGGAATAATTATAGTACCTATTTATTAGGATCTGGAGAACACAAAATGATGAAAAACATGCAAAGCAACGAGCTCGCTATGTTGCATATATTGAGTGCTAAAAAATATTGGCAACATTAACCATCTTATTTCTTTAGAGACTGCATGATATTGAGCAATAACAAGGCACTATAAATTGTTTAATAATTTGCCTATTTGTGAATATTTAGGTTGGTTCTTCTGTGGCTGTTTTGTTACTTGTTGGTTTTGTCATCTTATGTTTGATAATATAACCAATGCTATAATAAAAATGTTTGTACACATTTTTTGTTACACAAATATGACTATTTCCAAAAGAAAGATTTTTTAAGTGGGATTATTGATTCAAGAGATGCAGATTATCAATTGTAATAGAGACTGCAAAAGGTCTATAGTGAAGGTCTATTTCACTTTGGATATTGTCCAAAAACTGTAGTACAAATATGATGGATAAAAATTGTATTTCAGTTCTTATTTTCTAATTACCAATGAAGCTAACTATTTTGTCATATGTTTTCTTTGGTACCTGTATTACAGATATTTTCTATGAGTTAGTAGTTTATAATTAAGCTTTGCTTATGATCTCTTGGTATGATTTTCAAATTTTTGAGTACAGTATTTTGTCATTGTTGCTTATACATTTCATTATTTGCATGGATGACATTCCCATCTTGAGACCGTAAAAATATGCTCCTTTATTTTGGCTAAAACTTATTTTATACTTAGGTTTTACTTTTAGATTTTGCATTCAACTGGGTTTTATTTCTATGTTTATTTATGTGGGTTACATAGAAATCTAGTCTTATACTTTCCAATTTTTCAACCAATTGTCACAAATATCATTAATTTCATACTCTGTCCTTTCTCCTAAATTCTGAAATAAATATTATATATGAAGTTGCAGATAGATAACAATCTATATTCATACATAAATCCAGATACACAAAATTCTTTATGGTGGGTCCATTGATTTGTTTTTCTCAGTTTCTGCCATTATCTAATTGTTTTTAATTATGTGTTTTAATTTGAGGTTAGAAAAGTTCTCTGACATTATTCTACT